AACCCCAGGGATGCCCAGGGGGCAGCCCGTCCTTGAGGGCAATAAACACCCTTGCCCATGGAGTGACCCAGGACAAGCCACAGAAACTCTCTGAGCTTCGGGGTCCTGGGGTCAGGGTGAACAGCAGATGGGTGCACATGTTGTTAGTTGTTGGTGTTACTTTTAAAAATATGTTTTTATTGATTTAGAGAGAGAGAGAAAGGGAGAGAGAGAAACATTGATATGAGAGACTGAAATATTGATCGGCTGCCTCCTGCGCGCCCCCTGCTGGGGATCGAGCCCACAACCTGAGCGTGTGCCCTGACCGGAAACTAAACCCGTGACCTCTTGGTGCCCGGGATGACACTCAACCACTGAGCCACACCAGCCAGGGCGGTGTTACTTTATTATCTTGGTTGGAAAATGGCTTTGTAAAAACTCGCCCCTATTCTGAATTCATCTAGGATTCCAGTACTTGGACAGATGCTTTCATTCATCTGTTGACACCTGGATAACTCGATACCTTGGCTCACCCCATCCTGGCCCTGCTAGTTCTGAGCAACCCCTCTGTCCTGCAGGGTCCCTGCCAGTGGGTTCCCAAAACATGGGCCCCAAGGATTGGGGACTAGACAACCCTTCTGCTGGTGGACACTCAAGACACCGAATGACACTGCTAAGCCCCCGAAAATGACGGCCATCGCTCTACGACATGACAACCTTGAAAACATGATGCTGAGTGAGAGATGTCAGGCGTGAAAGGCCATGCAGTGTATGATTCCATTACATGAACTGTCCAGAATGCACCGAGGCAGGCGGCCAGTCCAGCGGGGAGGACTCTCAGGTCTGAGCACCACGAGGTCCATGGATACCAAGGGACACGCAGTGAGGGCTGATGCTGCACGTTCTGGAACCTCAGCCTTGCGCCCACCCCACCCACAGGGCTCCAGCTCCGGACCTTCCTCCCAACCTTGTCCCTGCTGCTCTAGTCCTGAACCCTCCCCTCTGATTCTCACAGCGCCGCTTCCTCGCTCTGCTCAGGCCTCTGCTCTCATGCCACATGCTCAGAGCCTCATCGCCCTTCCCTACTTCCTTCCTCGCAGCACTTCCTGTTGTCCAAAACTGTCACCTTTGCTTGCGTGTCATCAACCTCTCCTCTTTGAACATGAGCTGCACCCGNTCTCGTAGCACTTCCAGTTGTCCAAAACTGTCACCTTTGCTTGCATGTCATCAACCTCTCCTCTTTGAACATGAGCTGCACCCGAGGAGGGAGCAGGGCCAGGACTTGCCTGTCTTGTTACTGACATATCTCTGGCACTTCGAACATGCCACATACGTGGCTCTGCCTTTGTACAAATGTATTAATCCGCCCAGCTGGTGTGGCTCAGTGATTGAGTGTCCACCTATGAACCAGGTCATGGTTCGATTCCTGGTCAGGGCACACACCTGGGTTTCAGGCTTAAACCCCAGCAGGGGGCGTGCAGGAGGCAGCCAATCAATGACTCTCATCATTGATGTCTCTCTCTCTCTCTCTCCCTCTCCCTTCCTCTCTCTCTAAAAAAAGAAAATTAATTACAAGAGTATTGATCCAATAAAGGAAAGAATGAATGAATGCAGACGGGACTGAGAAATATTTGCAAGGAACCATTTGAGGCTCACTTTAAACATACCCACTTCAGTTTTGCTGAGAACGTTTCCTTTGTTGGAAACTTTGGGGTCTGGAATCAACATTCAAATGATGATTTAGCCGTGAAATTGATTTACTGATGATGATGGCACGTTCACGCAAAGAAGGGTTAGAACAGAAGGGTATCCCTACAAAAGGGAGAATTTCTCTGTGATCAGGAGAAGGCGCAAAGGGCAGCGCAATGCCAAATTTCCTGTGCAGCCAAGAGAGGCCGAGACGCCTCCTGAGCCATGAGGACTCGAGTCAAAGCCACGTCCTTCACCCAAGGTTGTGTCCTCTCGTCATTTATTATTCATCAGGACGAAGCTAAGTCGGGGTTGCCCTGGTTACTGCGGGGCTCCTCCGAGGGCTGTGGCTACATAATTGGCGTTGGCTTGGTTACCGGACACTTTCCATTTTGTGACCAGGGTGCAGGCAACAAATGCAGCTACGAGCCTCAAGGAAAAATCCTAATGGGCTGCGGGAAGGAGACGGCCACGAGATGTGCAGGCAAATGTCCACAGCAGCCTGGTTCACAACACCAAACACCGGGGTGACTCAGGTGTCCTCAAGCAGGCAAACGGCTACAAACTGTCATCCATACGCTCCACGGAACACTACCCGCCAACTCAAAGGGACGGACTGACAGACACAGCCACCTGGATGCTGTTCTATGGAATTATGCTGAATGAAAGAGGCCAATTCCAAAGGTTTACGTGCTGAATTATATTCCATTTATAGGGCACTTTGGAAGTGACAGCATTTCAGAAACGGTGGCCACAGCAGTGGTTGCCAGGAGTTAAGGACAGGGAGGAAGGGACAGGTGTGGCTGTAAGATCAGCAGGAGGGATCCCGTGGTACTGAGACTGTTCAGTGTCTTGGCTGTAGTGGTAAATCCACAAACCCATGCAGGTGACAGAACTGCNATAAGATCAGCAGGAGGGATCCCGTGGAACCGAGACTGTTCAGTGTCTTGGCTGTAGTGGTAAATCCACAAACCCATGCAGGTGACAGAACTGCCTAAAACTTAACTCACATACTCTCACCCAAACAGAGAGAGAAACACAAGCAAAAATGGGGACATCTGAATCAGACGGGTTGACTG